TATTTTAATCTTATTTGTTGCTTGCTTCCTTGAAACAGAATTACTCTACAAAAATAGGTTAATTTAGTAGTATGTTATAGTAAATTTATTTTCACGTATATTTAAATGGCGACTTCCCTATTTTTGAGTGTCATGACAAGCCTAGTGTACGTATGTCATAGTTTAAGAACACGGATATGTTGCTACAGTCAACAGAATTATGCCACTTTCATTTCCATATTAAAATTAAATAAGTGACACTGACACTTGACGTCTTATTATTTCACTTCAAATTATTATCATATTTCTGAAATACAAGTTTGCTGTCTACGTGGAGGATTGGGCTGAATATATTTCAGTTGACTTGACCGAATTTAAAAAAAGAGTATTTGAGGGAACTTATTATGTGCTTTTGTTGAGTTATGCCCAATTATATTTTGTAAAGGTATATGTTATTGAAATTGAGATCGATAACCTAGATTTAATCACGTCTTATCTTTGGATTTTTAACCCTATTTTTGGCCGCCAGTGATGAAGGTTAGAGGGAAAAACTTTAAGTCGTCCAACAGTACACCAATGCCCCATGTGCTATAGGCTGTGTACGTTCAAGATCCCTAGACAGTTTAAAAGAGTAAGGAAGTCAAAGCTGGCCAAAATTCGATCCATTGGACAATATCGGTCTCTACAAGTCTTCTTAAGCTCAGATTGGAGAGAAAAGTATGCAAGTCTACTATTCATTGAGGTGGTAGGTGTTTTTAACTACGACTGGTCAACTGTCAATATCCACGATAAAATTAGACATTTCTTTCATCTCATCTGGTTGAACGAGAAACGTAAACCTAAAAGAAACTTGGTTCCTGGCAATACCATTAAGGGGAGATAAACCTATTTAACAAATCGTATTGATGGAACCAGTTCCATCTTAAAGTTAGTTATTGTAACTGACAAATGTTTCACTAGTTCAAAACTACAAACGGCCAATTTTTTGGGAGGTTGAGAGGTTTCATCCCATCCAATCTCCATAGTCTGTCCAAATCCAAACTTAGTAGGGCAGACCAAAATTACAAATTTGGAAACAAATTGTCAAATCAGTTCTTTTGCGTCGAATGAAAAACTACCAAGAAACTTAACACCTCAATGCGTTGTGTATGTGTCTGATAGGGTCATTGTGAAAGAAGATAAGCTTTACCTGTATATATGATTATGATTAATGACCATTCACATTGCAAAAACTGGACTACTTTGACCTATGAAATCCCTTTTCTGTCGCATTGCATTAAAACAATGCTATTTGATGTAGCTTGAATTTCTTTTAGTCACCAGAGTTTTTACAACGTTATTTTTGTGCTGTTTTTGTCTACATCAATGTCAATTCTGTGACAAGTAGACAACTTAAAAGATTTACGATATGTTAAAGCTTATATCATTTCATTTGATCTTAATTTGAAATCAGAAAATAGAAGGGAAATGGGTAATTTGATATATGTTTTTTCTTTAAAATGATAATTGCCGAAAACCTATACGTCTCTCAGACGGCAAGATGGCAATAGAATTCTTCAGATAATACAGAATAATTATTAGTATGTTATGTTCCTTCTTGTCTTTCATGAAATAAAGAAACAAATAATAACCAATATCACTGATGAAAAATTAGAGAACAGACAGCGAGCAAAATGGAGCAAAGGTCACTTGCAATGTTTTTATACGCCCACATGAATATGAAGTCTTCCAACATTTTCCTTTTATATCGAATAAATGTTTCAAATATCAACTCATTTCATAATATTGTCATTTTAAGCAATAGTTAGTTATTTGCCTATCAGCCGCTGCTTTAGTTTTTATGTTTACAGTAAAATTATCATATACACTGTAAACTCATCTCAAAACTGTTCATTGCTAAATTACTAAGTATTCATTTCCGAAAACGATCTTGTATTCTTACAGAATTTTTCCCATGTCAATCTTAAGGACAGTACCAATATTCCGAAAGCGGAATTCTTGGTTATAATGTTGAATTGTGACAGCTGAAATATTTCGGTTTCTTTTAACATATTGCTCATAGACAGACACCGATGTCGGCAAGATGAAAGGCTTGTATAACTTGAAAGACACGAGCATAATGTAGAGAATAATACAGGTAAAAGATGTTACACTTGTACAATTGAAAACAGGTATCTAACAGAATGGTGTAATACAATTAAACATCAAACATGTGTTATTAAATGACGTGTAAAGGTTTGTAGTTTGTTTGTTGGCTCCCTATTTCACGTTGTTTGATATCATTAGAACATTAATTAATCATAGATTATGTTCTCGAGTTATTACAGATTAATTACATTCCAATAGTTCGTGTTGAAACATTAAACGTTCACGAACATTCTCTCTGCCGTGGTGTTTGAATATTCAAAAATCCGAATAAACCATGCTCCAAGTTAACTGTGCTCGTATTTGCTGTCTGATAAATGCAATGCTAACCTTCTTTTCGGGGCATTCCAAAAAGTCACTAGAACTGATGATGTAGTTTGGTTTGCCAAGTTGGCATTCCTTTCCGAAAATTCAAATATTTGTACTGGCATTATTTTTCTTAAGAATATGGCCACTGTGGTATCCTGTACTGAGGATCAAACCCAATATTATATTGTTCAAACACCTCGACAACAACACGATACAATGATATATTCTTGGCATAGCAGTATTTCGCATCCTGTGCTACTCCTTATATAAGGTAGACGAGGAAATAAGGTTTTGAAAAATAACAATTTGAATGCAAATTTGTTGAGACATGAAATGTGCACGTGGTAGGCCCAGTAACTTCACTCAACACATTGTTATATCTTAATTGAATTATTTTCTGACACGCCATTACCCGGTTTTTATGCAGAAGCGTTGAAGTTTCTGTCACCCTTCTTCAGACCTGACACCGCCTGATTTTATGACTTCTGATCTGCACTTATCGGGAGATAAGAGAAAAATGAAGACAAGTGTGAACAGGTCTTTCAGAACGTTACAGCTACGAATGTAAAGTATTTCTGATTTTGATCGTCTACTTTAATGAAAACATAAAAAAATTTAAATTGCTTCAAACATTTTAAATGTTCAGATGCTCTTTCAGCACCACTGGAATTCGTAAATGTTTGTTTCACACCTACAGCATTTAAACGTCTTCTAGTTTGTTAAAGCGATATGGTATTGATTTCACAAAAACTGGCATCTATTTCAATCAGTCACCCGGTGTCTTCCTAAATGTCGCTCAGATCCATATTAAGTTACCTATTTGCGCGAAGAGTTATTTTATTGATTCGTACAATTATTGTGAGAATAAGGCAAAACTAGTTCGGGGTGAATGTTTTGATGCCCTTTAACCATCAAACTCGACGAAAATCTTTTCCAATTCTATAATAAGACAGATCTAAGTCAGTATATCTGAAACGTCACCTCCAAATTACGAAATTATCAGTGGCACCGCCACCCTTCCGAGACTGGGGGTATAAATAGGGCGCAGACTAACACAATGAGGGGGCAATTGTCGAGGTTGAATTCAAAATTTGTAGAAGCTCTGTAACCCCCACTGATTACTAAGCTATAATTGTGGTAACTTCAGCTTGACAATGGCACCTACGATGCATCCTCTGACAAACAAATCTTGCTTCCCTTATTCAAGATGTACGTTAATGGAGATAAGTAAGCAGTTTATCTGTAGGATACTATATACGAAAAAAAAAAATATTTCTGAATTTTGCACTGCCTATTCTGGATTTGTGAAAGTAAGTCATTTGAGGTGTATCTAATCAGGAATAATGAGCCAGCAAAGTATAGTCAAAATATCAAAGGATTTGAAACAATAAGTATAAGAAATTGTAAAGATTAGTCTCCAAAATACTGAGTCTGTATTTCCGAAGTCGTTTATCCGTCATACGTATAGAGCCTACACTTAAATTTACAATTTGAGCACACATAGTATTACCTTACAAACCAATGTCTCAACTCTTTGTTATAAATTCTAGTAACCATATATATGTATGCCAAAATGCATCGAAATGAAATTAAAATTGGGGAAAGCCGGTTAAAGGTTTATTCGATCCAGTCATACGAACACAACATAATATAGGAATGGAACTCTCACAAGACAAGGAGAAAAACAGAGCATACATCAAGATGAAATCGATATTAGTACACAAGAAAATGTTCTTTGGATTTTCTTTTATTAATTATACTTATGATTATTTACATCAAAAACATGACCTATAAATAGAAAGGGACAAAACAACCGAGTACTTAAACAAAAGTAAACAAAACAAAAAGGCGTCTTTGGTTCATGAAATACGATTATAGGAGTTATTTCTCATATAATCGTAAATTTAGGATGAATTATTGTGAATTTCATTATGAATAAGAAGGGGATATGAAACATCCAGTGGTTGGAGTTGTCGAATAGGCATATCTTTTAAAAGGGCCTCCGTGTTCTCTTTGGCGTATTTTATGAGCTGTGTCTAAAACAAAGCCAAAAAACATTTTCAGTTTAGAGGCATTTTTTAGAATAGAACTATATAACTCAGTGATCACGAGTGTGTTACTATGTCAAGAATGAATAAATGCTATTTTAGCACCATTCTGGTTCAGTAAAACGCATTGTATAATTTGTTTTACTATATGAACTACTGTCTACCATCGGAAGTGTTAATAACTTACAATCACTTGAAACACCTGATGTCACTGTTTCTTATCGCCACTAGTGTCATTGCATGTCAAGTAACTTTCATTTCACGTAATATCAAAGTTTGAAGCATCTTGGGGTTCAATGGTTGGCGATTCACTAGGAATAACACTTTGATACAAGAAGGAGAAGAGCGGACAGAAAAGATTTTTTTATTACAATATAGTAACATGAGATCCAATTTTCCACTTCCAAACATATTCTTGCTGATGGGTCTTTCGTCATTTCATGAGAATAAAATACAGGATTCCATACCTCACACATTCTCAGTTTATTATAAATTCCATAAAACCTGATGAATCTAATCTTAAATAACTGTCAGATCTGTCGGACTCATATCGTCATCATCTAACCCCGTTTCTAGCATTCGACTCTTAGTGTTCGGTAATTTATGTTCTTTTTTCCATTTCATTCTGCGATTTTGAAACCAGATTTTAATTTGTCTCTCTGACAGACATAAGGTGTGTGCAATCTCTATTCGGCGTCTTCTGGTCAAATAACGATTAAAATGGAATTCCTTTTCTAATTCGAGAACTTGATGTCTGGTATAAGCTGTTCGGTTTCTTTTGGAATCCACAATTGCCAACGTGTTGCCTGAAACTAGAAATGAGGAGAATTTTCAACTGAAGTATAGCATTAGAAAACATAATACAGTACAACAAAGAAAATATTACTAAGTGATCAATTTATAACACTATAAGATGCATAAACATTTTAAAAATACAAGATCTTCTGATATTTAGTTATAGGTCATTATTTTAAAACCAGTGACAATCCATTTAAACATTTCATAAGGATTTCATTTCTTCATTTCCTTATGGAATTGGCACATAACTTTTTCACAACAGTAAAAGCAGTTTGAGTTTTGCACATTTCTTTTGCATCGTTTTTAAGTAATTAAGACACAAAATTCCTACAATGTACTATGATATAAAGTTTGTCAAATAAGTATTTCTTGAACTTTCATTTAAGCTTTTAAAGTACTAATGATGCCTCGTTTTCCACATATTTGAAAAATTTGACTGTTATTAGTTGACACATGTATAAAGTTTTTATATTTCAAATACGTACATAATTAAACCCACAGTGTAATATGACACTCTCTTTACGTACACAAAACAACAGATAGTTTGTGATACCCACTGAGTTTGTCATGAAGGACATATTGGAAATTGTTCAGTTGACAGATCTGAAGTCAATTTCATTATTTTGTGATCATGTTTTATTCAACAGGGAGAGAAATGAATTATAAATTGACAGAAACTGAGGATGATTGTACGCGCATGACTTCAAAATATTGTGAGATCAAAAGTCTACTTTTAAATATGTGTTTTTTATAAATAGACCCCCAGCTATTTATTTAAAGTCTAATGTAATATATATCATCTCTTTTATCATTATCCTAGTATGTATGTACTGATAAAAGGGTAATTTTTAAACTTATTTAGTAAATTGATATTTTTTGAAAAATAAAACGATGTCTTTTTCACCAATTAGATCTAAAAGCGATCGGATTGGTCGATTATAAAAAGCCAGAGTAATTGATTTTAAAAGATAGCGTGTCAGGCAAGGTAACATAAGCTCACTGGCAGCTGGCAGCAATGAAAGCTAAATCTTTATTGACAAAAAATATATTACAGATCTTCATAATAATACGAAATTTTCTCATTATGCATTTGTAGCTCAAAAACCCTGAATATCTCATCAATTTACGGTCAGTTATGCCGAGTTTCTCCCCAAATCTTTTTAAATCAATAGTAATAACCCAGAAACATTGAATTATCATTCTCCTCTCATTTCTTAAATTTTCAAAGATATATTTTTAAGTTATCATCAAATTCACACTAAGAAGCGCTCATCTACATAGACAAATTTGAACTTGACTAAGATTAATTTATACATGTAGCCCCCATCATGTTACCAGATCATTTGGTATATTTTTACTTAGTCAATGGCAATAACTCAAAAACCGTTCATTCAAAATGAGCCAAATTCATTATTGGGCGTACAAAACTACTATCTGGTCGTGAACTATCGGTGTGTAGTTCTGGGATCAAGGCAAGCAAAGCACGACTACTGTAACGTAAAATGTCCGATATTTAAGGAATCATCTTTCAAATCCCATTTAATACCTTAAATAATTTTGATCATCGTATTAATAGGTGTATCTTAATATTTGACATAATTAAGCAAACATTACAGCGTTGCTTTTGAATACTAAAATACTGAATACACTTCAAGCCAAATGCAAAATAAATATTTCTACTGATAGATGTGAGCACCATGTGAACAATAAACACCCAATTTAGTATATTAATCTTATTTTCAATCAGTTTACACACTAAGATGAAATTGCTTTTTTTTCACCTGATGCAACTGTTGGAGGTAAGCTGTCATCACCTAGTTTGAAAAACATTGATACCCACCTAGAAGCAGAGCGTGCTATTGTTCATGTAATTCATTTTCCTTCTAAATGTTTTTGATACAGAATCTGTTTATGATTAATTCAATGAACATTGATTTAAAAAGACTACTTGGCAATAATGTTTTCATCGTTTGTCCGCCTGTCTCAAGATAATCAATTTGAAGCTGATCTGGGTAATGTTAGCAGGAGTTTCTGTCGCTTATCGGTCATTCTCAGAGATTTTAACTATTTCTTCACCACAGTTGTTAAATGTTGTATGTGTGGTCTTCTGATGGAAAAGATGTTGACATTGTAAGATTCAAGCCAGATTAAAGTGTGAAACAGTACAATAATTCTTATTGTTTATTACAATGACATCTTGATTAAAGTGGCAAAATGTGTAGATTTACAGCGAAGTCTAAAAGTCTAGAAGTCTACAGCAAATGAAAATCATTGTTATTTTCAACTCCTGCTACAATTCATGCTACATTTTAGACACATGTAAAGATAGATAAAGGGGTGTTTTGGGGTTGATTGCTTTTTAGCTGGGCACTATACAAGACCTACCTAGCTTCATAAATGATGAAGAACAACAATGCACACATAGAGAGATTGAACAATTATTAGAAGCTACAGCATTTATCCGATCCTGGTGGAACTTGAAATTCATGTCTAATTGATGGTCAAATGTAGTGGTAATTAGAAGAACGTTTTTTTAAAATTTATTTATACTTAAGTATATTAGTTCCAGACAAGCTTGTGATCTCGTATAAAAAAAAACGTCCAATTAAAACAAAAATATTATTTCCGAATGCTATCATTGGACGTATGTTACCTTGCCTGGCTAGCTAGCATAGTATAGTCAAGATCTGAATAATGAAAATTGACACAGAGAGCTGAATACAGCAGCGATATCCATAAAGTATCGGTACTCTGTAAGAGTAGATTCATAATGTAAAGCTATAGTAGAACTGTAAAGTTGCTTGTAACTTGATATGCTGTTACAACATAACACAATGGCAATAACAATGTCTTATATTTAATGAATGATATTTATTGTCATTTTATTGTCTGGAGTTTTCTCTTTATTACATTATATTTAGAGTAAAAATACCTGCTAGTAGTCATATAAACTGTCAAATTGTCAGTATACATTAAATTTAGAAACACGTCTCCAGAATAGCTGGACTGACAAAAAAATCATACACGTTCACATTGTTCACATTTAGCCATAACCAGTAAGTTTCCTTGATTTGTTTCGGTTGAAATTGCGAAATAATGGCTAAGTAACAGAGATAAACCGAATGATATGACCAAAATTTGCTGTGAGGTGCTCCACAAAGTATTGCTTTTACATGAACAATGTATGACTATGCAATCTGTGGAGACTAATTGTAACTGAACTGAGTGTTTCAAATGAATATTCATTTTCACGTTCTTTTGAAAGATTAGGGAGACATGAAGAGATTAGGATTTGAACCTTTTCTTGTTCACTTCATCTAAAGATAATCATCCATAAGAGTATAATTGTTTGATTGGTCTTCTGGAGTAATAATTTTTATAATAACGATGTCCTTAGCACTGGCCGTTTCAGATAATTAACTTGGATTCTGTATTATTTTTTGATGATTGCGTTTAGATAATAATATCGAATTTTTCGACCATGTTTGATTTTCTATAAAATAACTAAGATTGTAAATGCAAAGAATTAGATTGTATTCACTTTTGCAATTTACGATTCTCAATTGTAAAGAATTATCAGATTTGCTTTAAAGAAAAAGAACATATAAATACTTTGATTACCTCTGAACCGACTTAATTTTTTTTCTATAAAACCATTAAGATTGTGTGTAGATGACTAAGGTAGTATATAGTAGTGAAATTTCAGAAAATTCAGATTTTCATTGAATAATAGAACTTTCAGATGGATCAATGTTGTATTAATGTTTCTCTGGTATAAGGACCAATTTGATAAAGTTTTATAGAAAAACAATCACTTGTTTAAGTTTATACTACATTGGCTACAAGTCGAATGAGATTGTCATGCAATTGCACACTCTATATTCCTATATTCATTAGAATTACGAGCAGGGAGGTTGGACTCGAATCAGACAAAATATACCATGCCATAATTATAAACGATATGTGAATATCAAATAAACACCAAAGATTATTCGTTGCTTGAGGTAAAATCATTTGATATATACTCATGTTGTGAAAACCTCATGCAATTCTTATCAAACATTTCAAATTCTTAATACTTTTCTTATGCACTTGATCAAAATAGGTAAAGAAAATAGTTGCTCTGTGGTCAAAATTGTCCAAACTGTATATTAAGAGTCGGATCTCAAATGCCATATGACATCCTTCAATGTAAATCCAACTGACTAAATGCTACTCACACGGGTCAATTCATTTGCATATTAATTATGGCATTAAATGTCATAATGTAGTTTGTAACTTATTTATATTATTGATGGTTGTTTTGGTTGATTAATAATGTTAATCTATTATATGGATATCAGGAATCAGATTTCTAGGATAAAGCTGATACATGGAAGGTCTATTATTGATAATTTATTATAATACCTGCCTACAGCTTGTTTTTCATGATTTATCTTAGTCAATATTACATGATGGATCACACTGTCACTATTTTATTTCATTATTCTGTATATCATTTATAAATTGATTATCATGCATGATTCTGAATAGTCATAATTGAAAGGATTGCCAGTAGTTGACTTTCATACATTATGGAAATGTTCCTTCCTTCTCATTTTCTTTTTTTTTAAACAAAAATAACTTCTCACTCAGTTGATAGCCCATCATTTCAAAAATAAAAAAAGGTTTTATTTTTTAAACAATAAGCATATTTGAAATATAATTTATATTTACTTTAAGATTTATCATTGAAATTCTCAAATTCCTGATTTTCATGTGTAAGGATAAGGTGTAAGAAATTGATGACAGTGTAATGTTTACTTCATTATATCTCATAAAATACGATTCTTTAACACACTAAGGTTGATAGGGTGCCTGCTAAGGTAATCACAGATGTCACAAGTTGCTAGATGGAATAATCCATTTACTTAAAACTCAGTTGCTTTGTAGATACAACAATTCTTAAAACAAAAACATTGCTATATCAGGTTGTCAAAAATGAATAG